CTCGAAGAAAACCTGCCCCAGCGCCACTTTGTCCACCACAAATCCCACTTGACCAGACCCGGGATCGAACTCGGGACACCGCGGTGGGAAGCCAGCGACTAACCGCTTGAGCTATGGCGTGGCCATGTATGCATGTATGTACGTATGTGTGTGTATATGTGTATGTGTGTGTGTATGTTTTTATGTATGTATGTACGTATGTGTATATGTGTGTTTATATGTATTTATTTATTTTATGCATACGTTTCTCACTACCGTCTGAACATTTGGGGGGGTTTTATGCATATTCGATGTTCAGGATTTTGTCAATCCTAATTGGGTGTCCGGTGAATCTTAACATAATAGCTTCGAGAATAGGGTCTTTCCAAATGGTTCCCAAAATAAAAATAAATAATTAACTCCGTTGTTTTAGTCCGCAAGCGAACTATACCGACCGAGCGACCGCTGCTTGTCGGCGAAGTTAGTGCCTACTTTAGCAGATAGTTGGTGTCGCTTGGTCAGCGCAACGAATCCCCACGGCCGTTAATTTCGGTTTTCTAGACCGGAGCCGCTATTTCCTTGAAATATCTCAATTATACTCAAGAGGCTGAGTGGACCACGTTCCAGACCCTCTCCTTCTCAGAAAATGTGGTAGCTCAGGAAATCGAACCCGGGACCTCCGGATCTGTAGCCAGGAACTCTGACCACTAGACCACAGAGGCGGTCCTCCCCAAAATAAAGGGTAGAAATTTTCTCGAAAATGAACCAAACAATTTCGTTTCCAAGGCAACTTAATGACGGTCAATAGTATAGGAGAGAATACATGCAATGACTGCAATAAATTGCTAGACTGTCGGATTTAATTCGGCGTGGGACTGAAGGTGAATTTCACGAATGTAGGACAGAGGACAACAGAGGATATTAGCGGGATAATATCGGAAAAATAAGGGAAAGTAATTCTGGTTGGCAATATTTATGGAAGTGACAACGTGAACACCTAGGCATAGATCGGAGGACAGTTTTGTCACGTATTTTAGTGACTAAAGACGGGGTTCGGATTGGTAATTGGGTTTACTGACCACTTATATGTCGTAACTACAATAAATACAACATTTTCGAGATTACTGTAATTATAACACATAAAGTCTTCTATATCTGCTTACATTAGTCATTGCTAAGTAAGAGATCTAAACAATAGCTATTTCTCTGCAAAGTATTTCCTATCCGTTTCCCGGCAACGGATTCTAACACATGAACTATAACTGTCACACTCCAGATATCACTGTACTACAGCACACATAAAGTCTTCAATTCACACTTAAGTCCTCATGGGCCGACTTATGATTCTTCTTCAACTACGAACTTCCCGTGGCTACTTGTATCTCCTACCGAGAACTGACAGACTTGTAACGCCGATTGTCTTCGAGATAATTCATCGGCACGGACCCCTTGGAAAACACCTTCTTTCTTTAAGGATGCGTGTTTACAGTTTCGTTGCCTGGAAACAAACGCCCTATTATTCCATGCGTCTGCTTGGCTCAGACCGCATAGAGAAGACAATTTCCCCTATATTGTTGTTATGTTCTTAAGGGGCAGAGGTGTTCACCAGCCGTCGCATAGAAGCGACAGTTCTTATACTGTTGCCTGTATTTCTTGCCGTGAAAATGTTTACGGACATTCTTCTATTGTTGCGTAACCTAGCAACGGACTCTGTACCAAGAATGTGTCTTCGCGAGAACTTGTTTACCAAACCGTTGTGTAGCAACTGGCGTATAGTATACAACAGTATTAAAACATCAAAATGGGTGCTCAGAATATTATTAAGATTTTACTGTCTCAGGAAAGAGATGAGTGGCAAGAATGTATTAAATTTCGAGTTTTAATATAGGAACTCTTAGTTAATTTCTTCCAGTAGCTCAAAGAACTGCAGCTTCCCTACCGTTATTAACATTACCGAAATCCAACATCCGCCGCAGACAGAATCTCAAATCTCATATTCCCTGTTGTGTATAGAAAGAGATAAGACTTTTTTAAGATCGATATATTCTGAATTGTGACATCTCGTAGTCTGAAACTTCGGGCTTGAAGATTAATTAGTGTGTAGGATTTGGGTTTCTCACAGCCTTTGTTATGAAGTGTACACACTTCTGGGATTCATTCATTCATCAGTAATCTGTCAGACGACAGGTCCACAGTCTCTTCCAAAACAATTCCTCCACTTGATGCGATCTAGAGCTTTCTCCTTCAAATGAGAATATCCTCTTCTGTCCCCAAGGTCATCCAGCATCTTCTTACGCCTTCTTCCTCGTCTTCTGGTCACTTCTATCCGCTCCTCTATCTTTCCTTCAATAACTTCTTTTAGAAGGCAGTTACTGCGTAATGTCGTATTGTCCACGGCGTTATATACCAGAAGACAGAATTCTTCACTAGGCAGACATGACGGTACGTCCTAAAAATCTATACCATGTAAGAAAGCAGAATATCTTAATTTGAAAAATCACGGCCATGAAAAACCTCACAAGCCACAGAGAAGAGTTTGTTCTTGAAGCAATATTTTTAAGCAGGTTTGCTATATTATGAATTCATTTGGGCACAGGTACAGAGGACGTTACAAAATATAGGTCGTTATAATTTGTCTTGTGATAAGTTTTATTCGAATTTGTAATTCAAAAATATCTACGCATACACTCTCACGAGGCAACATGAGATACAATGTTTTTTCCATATTCACAATGAGGTACAGTGCACAGTATATTAAACAAGAGAAGTTTATGGAGATGGCCGCCTACTCAGTGTACTGAGTTTGTAATGTTGTTTTGAATATGTCATGGCCCCTTTCAGACAAATCCGCTTCCACAACTTTTGGTTGTTTTCAGGGGTAAACAGAAATTCTCCAAACCTATGGGAGATTACTATATGTTTTAATGTGTGTGAATTATTGAGTGGTATAGTTTAAAACCAAATATAAATCCTGACAGCTTTAATACCCAGTTCCTGAATATGTATAATTCAATAACTGAATTTGCCAGATATGGACTACATATTTATTTCATTACATCAATTTTACTAAATAAAATTAAAATAGGAAGGTTGAAAACTGGATTCAACATGGCATTTCCACTGAGGCATATCATAGCATAGCATTCCTTTCCTGTAAATACACTTCATATTTAAGGATAAAAATATTACGTATTTTACTCTATGAGATATTCATTTTACTGGAAAGTATGAATATAAACATAATACTTCAGAAGACAAACATTTCGTTAACATATTCTGTTTGCATTTGAGCGATGTTGAATCAGTCTTCGAAGAGAGATTACATCCGTTCCTAATATAGATTATCCAATGAATATATACTTAGCCTTTCTGGTAGAATCTACAAGATTTTTACAACAACAGGGACGGTTTGTTGCAGTGGCACCAAAAGCACAATGTTACTGTGGCTGGGGTCGGACATCATGCATCTGGTTACACAGCGGGCCAGCTGACCTTGACTTAGAAGATGTGCGCTCTGAAAGACGCCTCCACACTTTTAGAGGTTCTCCTCTGATATTACAGAAATGTAAGTATTCTATTTCGACAAATGCTGCCTCTCATCTATAAAGTCATAATTAAAAATGTTTCTTGAGCATAAAGAATGTTCTCAGAAGAGCATGAACGTGATTCTCGAGTTTGAGTCCTCGTTTCATATTATCAGAGCACATAGATATGTATCACTGCGCTCTTCTCGTGGCACACCTGATTCCAAAACAGTGTCGATAATGTTGGAAGAACGGATGGTAAATTAATCAGTTTTAGTAGAGAATACTGATGAATGCAGAATATTATGAATGTTATCAACCGTCAATGTAACTGTAATACAATTTTATAATAATACAATTTCGTGCAATATCAAGTAAATATGTTTGTTTACAAACGTTCTCAGACTAGACAAAAATAATAAAAATGATGAATAGATATTTGTATTGTTATGTAATATACATTTTAATTTTAAATGAAATTATCATAGTACAAGAGATAATAATGTGATTCTTCGTGAATATTGTGCAATAACTGTACAGTGCTATCAGCATTGTTTCTTGAAACCTTCTGTAATAGCAACATTAACGTACAATAATTAATAACAAACAAGTGCAAAATGAAGGATAATGGAATCTCATTTAGTCGAAGAAATGAATGACTAGTATCTAAATTAAAGATAATTACATAAAGGGCAATACTCGATAGGAATGCCTACTATCCATCTAGTATTTAGGGTAATAGTTCTTTGTAACCTTATGAAAGGGGTACACTGTGAGCATGATATAATGGCATTTGCTTGACAAGCACTGCCTCGAATTCAAGTACTCTTCGGCGTTATCTGACATGAGACGGGACGTTTGTACGAAGTTAACTGGACCACATTCCCGGGCACCTGTTTCCAACGTCGTTGCTCGAATATTTCTAAAGAAATCGGAAGGACATATACTAAGGAAATTACGATTAGGCCTTCATACATAAATTTAGAGGGATCTTTCCGTATTTATAAAGATATAAGTCTTATCGATACGAATGTGACACCGAATGAAACGTCGAGAATCATATGTAGGCCCTCGCGTCGACTATATACATATGAGAATTAGATCGGTTTATGGATTAATTTCAATATTTGGAACTTAAAGCCTGCATCTTGTTGTATTATGATATTTTATTTTTATTTCTATTATAACCGTCAACACAACACAAGTGGTATGGAAATATCTTCAATGGAGATAGATGTTAATACACATTTTACTTATTTATCACAAATTTTATTTAATTTATTATAAATAAAAATAAAATTACAAATATTTGTAATAAATAAGTATAATGTACATCAACATCTACGTACTATATCCATTGAAGATATTTCCAAACCAATAGTGTTGTGTTGACGGTAATAATACAAAAAAGAACTCCGTGATTTTAGTCCCCAAGCGAACTATACCGACCGAGCGACCGCCGCTTGTCGGCGAAGTTAGTGCCAACTTTTGCGGATAGAGGGTGTCGCGTGGTCAGCGCAACGAATCCCCACGGCCATTAATTTCATACAAATCAAATATTAAATATATGTAGTACACTACACGCTCCTCCCAGCAGCGTGCATTGTTAACGTTTATTTTCAAAATAATGACATTCAACTGTATAACAATACTTTCAAAGTTTGCTACAGATTTGAAGCAGTGTCGAAAGTTGTATTTTAAAGGGAAGTGAAATGCATTGATAAAAAAGTCTTGCATACTTCTTGATTTGATCCACGCAAAAATCCAGCCTCTTATTTTCAGGTTTTTCGAATTTGAAGAACTACCACGTATATTAAAATCTGAGCTCTTTGACTATGCAAGTAAATTGAACCATTCATAACAACTTGTTCCTACATGCACCACCTGCTTCAGCTAAACTATGAAATTCTCCCACAAGGTTATTTTGTGTTTCGTATGGTTTTTACAATAAACTGCGAGTTTCCCTAAACTGCATTAACAGGTTGGTTTTCGTAGCGCAGATGTGAGGTACCCCGCTGGCGGTGGAGGGGGCTGAGAGTTGACTAGCGCTGTTAGGACCGCTGGAGGGGGAGGGGGTGTCCTGCATAGCGCGAATACGTCACAATATTATTTATAAGACATCCCGCCATTTATGATTTAAGACTCTTAGAATATAAAAGATGTATTGACCGTCTCGTAAGCCTCTGCGGTCTATCACAAGTAAAGCAAAACCGGCAGCCAGAGAATAATTTACTTTAAAGATGTAGAGGAAATGCTTCGATTTTTAGTCTAGGCGTCTATGGCCGCTTTAGTTACCACGTATATTTTCAGCCTCGGTTGTATAATTCTGCACTGAGTGCCTATCTTGGTTAGAAAAAACCCTCGGCTCCTTCCAAAAGGAGGCGATCCTGGTTGTCATGTAATCTAACTTGTGCTCCAGGAGAAGTTGGCTTGTGGACAGGGTACGTGTTCAGAGCCCTTCGCAGATATGTCGTGATGAGTCTGCAGACACCAGCTATGTCATAGTCAACCGTGACAAACTGGAACACACAAGCCTACCGATTTCTCTGCTGTGCGAAATCCTTCACATGACAGTTTGGATCTGAAATTTCACACTTCTTCACTCTGTACCCTGTCTTCGTTCACGTTATCCCAGCAGTTCCTTGTGTTGTACTCTGCGGCTGACACGAAATCTTCAGGAAATTCTTGCATTTCGCTGGTTGCGCAGTAGCTGCGCCGGTATTGCTGCGTAGTCGATGGTGGCCTCTGCGATCTGAGGGGCACATGAATGCGTGACTGAACATTGCGACAAAATAAAATTGACTGATGCCATGACAAATTAGTTTATTATTAGCCTAGTTCACTGAACTCATCTTTCTGGAGCAGGCAGTAACTATTACGACATTGATCGATGTTGCCAATAGATATGGAACTGCCGTCCTATTGGTACGAGTGTCCTACGGCGCCATAACATACAAATGCAGACAGAGACACCGTAAGGAAAATATAAAATACGACGGGAAGACAAGTTTGCAAATACCGTCCACCGTTTAATTCTGACTGTAACAGCAGTCAGTGCACACAATGGGACGCTACGTAAGTTGTTCTGTTCACTAAAGCAAAAGATAAGGTCGAGCTGTAGTGGCTAACACCTGCTAGATTCACGCTCGACCATGGACCAAAAAGTGTACTTTCGCACATGCGCACTTTGAAAATGAAACACTACGGTTACCAACAGTGTCCGACTATGCCGTTGTATTTCTGCATGACCCAACTAGGAAACACAGGCATACCTAGGATGACAGTGTAGAAAGGAATCTACGATGAGTAGTGCGTGGCCTGAGTTCAGCTGAGCAGAGACAGAGCTTGCTGGCGGGCTCTTCCGAACACGGTAATGGACTTTTAGGTTCCATAAAAGAATATTTCTAGACTACCTAAGAGAATGTGCGTTTCTAATGCCTCTGTTCCTTGCAAATGTTTATTTGTCAAGTGCAGATATAAAGAGCATTCATATATTTAAGATATAATTTATTTCACTGCATTATGTGTGACACTGTCCACTGTCTGATGTACATTTAATACAGACCTATACGAAGTCTGCAAATGGCCTTGCTCCTGAATTCACAACATTCTTTGTTATTATGCTGAGGAATATTTCATTTACATTTTCGACATTAACAACAACGGCCCGGAGAGAAGCAACAAACATTTGAATGTTGAACTTCTAACCTGACTCCTAAACCACCGGAATAAACCCCTCCCCCCGTATATTCAGTATGATGAATCAATTATCGTTACAGATGTTAGCCCCCTAAAATGCATTTGTAACAATGGGTACCCCTTGCTTTAATGTTAAGTGACCCTGTATCACGCCTTCATATTTCATGTATGGGTTTCGTCTCTTTCTCAGGACAAACAGGATTTCTTTGCCTGAACAACGTAAACCCACAGATCTTTGTAAATGATGGGGTGTGTTTTCTGTGACGTAAGAATAGATTGTTAAAATACTATTTATATACCATCATCTTACAAACGGTTAAGAGAGCAATTTACAATTGAATCTGCAGAAGTTTCAAATCAACTGAAGACACAAAGTTTTAGAATGAAGGTTCTCAGAACACGAACAGAAATGCTCAGTCTCTCTCGGCACGATATTCGAACGCCCTTTTCTGTCAATCTGAGAGTATGGGCCCTAAGATGGGCTTATTTCTCTTCGAAAGAGTCCCATCGCGTGCCGAGAAATTCACTGTCACAGAATTAATTCTGAGGAGGTGTTTGTTAGAGTTCATAATACCTAAGAGTTCATTGTCAACTCAACTATATTCTCGGAAGCAGACCTTAATCTTCCTGAAATTTGAATAGAAAAGAATGTTCTTCTCATTATTCCTGAGAAGAGAGAGGAGTGTCTTGGGAACATCGAACCCCACCTGTCAGTCAGGGTAAAGTTTATCTATTGTACACATGCACTTCATGCGGCAGCTCCATTAGTGATGACATACAGTTCTGGTAACTGAAATGTAATACTTGCAAAGTAATATTTCTTCAGATGATTCCCTACACAGCAACTGTTGAGTACAATTATTTTCAATAATATACACAAAACAAGACCAATAAAAAGTTGTAACTTGTTTAACAACACTGTTCAGCCATTATGAGACGGAGTAGTGGTGGGTCATTGCACAACTCGGTCCTTATCTTGAGTATGTAGCTTCGAATGATGGATATGAAATTATCCCAGAGGAAGCCACTATGGCCAAGTCGAGGTAATATTTCGAATTTTGCCTACAGGGACTGAGCAAACAAAAGAGGAACATGTCAGAATAGCTAGTGTTCAGTCCGAAATTCAAGTGAAGCACTTCTCATAGGCAGATTGCAGTGTTATGGCCAGACGAGTCTCTTTGGCGTCAATATAGGGGAGATTCAAAGTAAAGTAGTTAAATATAAATTTCCCTTTATGTATTTTTTATTGCTAGTAGGGTGGGACTAAGTCCCTTGCACTGCGGCCACTTCTGGCCTATTGTACCAGCCCCAGATGATAGGTGAGGGTGATTGTGGAGCAATTGGTGGAATGAATATTGGCAGGGGAAACCGAAGTACTCGGAGAAAACCTGCCCCAGCGCCACTTTGTCCACCACAAATCCCACTTGACCAGACCCGGGATCGAACCCGGGCAGACGCGGTGGGAAGCCAGCGACTAACCGCTTGAGCTATGGCGCGGCCTTCCTTTATGTATGTACTATTCTGTTGCTGCTTTCCTTGGAGCAATACTTCATATTCATTCATTCCTTCCAAATTCCTAGGTTAACCTCTCATCTCGCCTGCTACAAACACTTCGACACCTCGTATCTTACCGTTGGCTGCGACTCCTGCACCAGCGCCAGCTGCCCCACCAGCATCAGTATGGCGTCGTGGAGACTGACACACTGCGTCCGAAGCTGCAACAGCAGTGAGAAACATACTGAATTTTCTTATACGTTAACTAGGCTTTTTATTGATTCTGTTTATCTTCGGTGTTTTCTTCTTTCGCAACTTCAGTTCATATTGGCAGAGGGATTGCTATTTACTTTTAAAGAATGTAGTTCATGTACCTCATGCGTATAGCGGATGACGAGGTGTAAGGTCAGGATAGAATTTTAACCTAAATTTGAATAGTAAAATATAATGGATTAAAATTTACGTTCAACGATTAACTACACGCATTAATATGTGAATTGTCTTGTGGTACTTTATAAATATTAAGAATATGTTGGGCCGCGCCATAGCTCAAGCGGTTAGTCGCTAGCTTCCCACCGCGGCGGCCCTGGTTCGAGCCAGGGTCTGGTCAAGTGAGATTTGTGGTGGACAAAGTGGTGCTGGGGCAGGTTTTCTCCGAGTACTTCGGTTTCCCCTGCCAATTTTCATTCCACCAATTGCTCCACAATCACCCTCACCTATCATCTGGGGCTGGTACAATAGGCCAGAAGTGGCCGAGTACAAGGGACTTAGTCCCACCCCACTAGCAATAAAAAAATACGCTGTCCATCCGAAATAAAACTCAATTTCTACAAATATTCAAAGGTTAATATGAACAGGATATGCAGAAGATGCAAGCGTGGAATCTGAACAGTATATGGAGCCTGCAAGTACGATGTGTTCAAGAAATTGATTACATCTTATATTCTAGCAATTTAACTCATATATCAGAGAAAACAATACTAATTTTCTTACACATTCAAATTCATGCCACTGCGTGAAATGAGTCCACTTAAAAGCTGAAAATAAAACATGTAATTTTTTCCATAGACTTGCTTACATTACAGACTTTTAGAAGAAAGGCTGAGAACTGACTCCGAAGAACACATCCCTCTAACATCAACATAATCTCGAACTTTGTCCGGATCAATCAGTCGATATCGGCAACCAAACTTTCGGTGTTAACGGACAGAACGGAAAAGAAGTGACTGAGACACTGGGGGTGAAACGTGGCACCTGTGCTTAAGGAAGGAACATAAATTAAAGGTGCTTGAGGATAGGGCGTTGAGAGGAATATTTTGACTTATGAGTGTGAAGATGACAAGCGAATGGAGAAGAGTCTGAGGTTGTTTTCTTCGTCAGATATTATTAAGGTTATGAAGTCAAGGTAGATGAGGCAGATGGGATACAGAAAACAGGATAGATTAGAAATACATACAGAATTAAGGTCAGAAAATCTTAAGGAAAGGAATAATTTTGGGGATCCACACGTAGATGGAGTCCAACTGGGTCCACTCGGCACGGAGGCCACTGATTGGCCTACTGTACCTGCCCCGGGTGATTATTATGATGGAGAATTTGGTGGAATGAAGAGTGGCAGGGGAAACCGAAGTACTCGTAGAAAACCCGCCCCAGCGCCACTTTATTCATCTCAAATCCCACTTGACCAGACCCGGGATCGAAGCCGAGCCGCCGAGAGAATATTAAATCTACGTTAAAGAATCAGGACATGACTCTGTAGACTGGATCCATTTCTCACACGAATGGCCTGCTCTTTTGAACACGGTCATTAAATTTCCAGAACAGCTGAATGGCTACTAGCTAATAAAAAGGTATCTTACCTCATGTAGTAGGTTTGCTAGTTAATTTAAACGTAATTATCTTTTTAGTCTTTGGCAATACTGGCGAAATTATGCCACAAACAACAAATTTGAGACGAAGCTATCCCACAAACACTGGTTTCCGTATACCAACACACGTGCAACACAAACACTGCTTTCACCATAACAACACTCGTGCCTCAAAAACATTTATTTCATAACACACGTGAATCGCAAACATTGATTTCAACACAGCAACACGCGTATATCACAAACATTGCTTTCAGTGCAGCAACCCATGTGCATTACAAACATCTCCTTCAGAACAGCAACACGCGTATATCACAAACATTGCTTTCAGCGCAGCAACCCATGCGCATCATAAATCTCGTCTTCAGAACAGCAACACGCTTATATCACAAACATTGCTTTCAGCGCAGCAACCCATGCGCATCATAAATCTCGTCTTCAGAACAGCAACACGCTTATATCACAAACACTGCTTTCAGCGCAGCAACCCATGTGCATCACAAACCTCGTCTTCAGAACAGCAACACGCTTATATCACAAACATTGCTTTCAGCGCAGCAACCCATGTGCATCATAAACCTCGCCTTCAGAACAGCAACACGCTTATATCACAAACATTGCTTTCAGCGCAGCAACCCATGTGCATCATAAACCTCGCCTTCAGAACAGCAACACGCTTATATCACAAACATTGCTTTCAGCGCAGCAACCCATGTGCATCATAAACCTCGCCTTCAGAACAGCAACACGCTTATATCACAAACATTGCTTTCAGCGCAGCAACCCATGTGCATCATAAACCTCGCCTTCAGAACAGCAACACGCTTATATCACAAACATTGCTTTCAGCGCAGCAACCCATGTGCATCATAAACCTCGCCTTCAGAACAGCAACACGCTTATATCACAAACATTGCTTTCAGCGCAGCAACCCATGTGCATCATAAACCTCGCCTTCAGAACAGCAACACGCTTATATCACAAACATTGCTTTCAGCGCAGCAACCCATGTGCATCATAAACCTCGCCTTCAGAACAGCAACACGCTTATATCACAAACATTGCTTTCAGCGCAGCAACCCATGTGCATCATAAACCTCGCCTTCAGAGCAGCAACACGCGTATATCACAAACATTGCTTTCAGGGCAGCAACCCATGTGCATCATAAACCTCGTCTTCAGAACAGCAACACGCTTATATCACAAACATTGCTTTCAGAGCAGCAACCCATGTGCGTTATAAACCTCGCCTTCAGAGCAGCAACACGCGTATATCACAAACATTGCTTTCAGCGCAGCAACCCATGTGCATTATAAATATCTCCTTCAGAACAGCAACACGCGTATATCACAAACATCTCCTTCAGAACAGCAACATGAGTACATCAAAACTATTACTTTCAGCATACCAACATATGTGCATCACGGCACACAAACATATCTGCATCATAGACACTGGTTTCAGAACGCCAGTATACGGGGGTCACAAATTCTTCTGCAGTGCAAGCAAAAGTTTCTTGCTTGCATCATAAGAATATACAAATCTTCCACATAAGAATGCCGGCATTTCAGATTCATGTTTATTGAACTCTACAAGACGGAGTAACAAACAAAATGTAGCTTACAAATAACAGTGTAGTACTTCGATAAGTCTACTGTGCTCAAGTCTTTAGCTTGGCACACACCCAAACTGTGTTTCAGATGTTTCCGTGAGTGCTCCAACGTATCATTTGTAAAGGCAAAAATAATACCCTCTAATGTGACTATTTAAGTTTTATCACTTGAGGATTTATCTCCCTTAAATGTTTCGTTCCTTACGGATCATCCTCAGAGGGTATCAGTACTTTCGGAAACTACTATTACAATAGATGTTAATTGTATGGATACACATATGATGTCTAAAATGCACAATATAGGCAATGTTCAACATTCTACATTCACAGGGGCCTTCTTGGTGTTAAAACTTTTTTAAAAAATTTTGTTTTAAAAACTTTCAAGATCAATCTTAAAATTTATGAACCATACAGGTTCGCATCAAATCTCCTATTGTTATTCTTGGAGGTGGCTGATCCTGTGCCGTCTGTCTATCTTGCGAAAGGAGATTCTTAGTATTTCCTTGTTTATGCGTAGCCTACTGTGTTGTTTACGCTGTATCATTTGTAATTGTAACAGTAGCTTTCGATATTCATTTCCGGCCCAAACGTTGTAGAGACATCATTTTTGAGGAGAATATTTTGTCCTTTACATAACCTCTAGAACAAAAGAAATCTAGTCCAGCCAACAAATGCGAACGCGACATTCCTGTAGTACACTCAGGAGCCAAAGGTGGCAGTTTTGTTTTTCTTCACTGAGAACACCAACAAATAATGCTGTCTGCTTGAACACGATAAAAAGTTATAACTTCCAGAGCTTGATTCATATCTTAACATCATCTTCCAGTAAGGTGGCGCACCCCCACATTTTCGTCACGTTGTGGGAAAATCAATAGAAAATGGATGGGAAGAGGAAACCAATTTATAGGCCTTCCAGATCACCGAACCTCAGTCTTTAGGCACTTGAAAAGAACGAAAATAGAACTAAATCCTTTTGTCGGATTATCACAACAATGTACCATAAAGTCCGCAATAGGCATAGCAGTGTTGCTGGTCTCTGGCAAATGACATTTGTCCAAGAGACACATCAGTTCCAGAGGTTATTCGCAGGTGTCTGAATATTCGTGTAGAACAGCGAGAACATCGCATGCTACTTCCGCCAGATTTGTTCAGAAAATAGAAAAAACAAGTTTCATACTGTTTCTTACAATCTATGAGAACTAGTACGTCAGCGGAACAATACCAACCAGTTTGGAACTAAGATATTTGTACAGATCGTGTAGCATTGTTCTGACGGGTCTTGTGGTTGCGATGAGGAAGTAAGAAGTCGTAGAAAATGTACAAATTATGGAAAGTGGATACTTTTATGAAGGTACGTAGATATCTTAGATTCATTTGAAAATGTGACTTACGAAAACGGTTTATGAAAAAGAGAACCAGACTGAAATAGCTCAGTTTCTTGTCCAGTGGGAATTTGGTATCACTGGTTCGCTTTCCAGAAATCTATATCGAAGTCCTGAAGCACCAGGAATTTTTTCGCAATGCGGTATATTTAAAGAGATGGTCCTATTGAATATGTTTAACTGTGGGAAATAGTCCAGTTTTATTGAATACAAAGATTAAAATATACGTATATTTTGGAAGACAATTTTGTAACAGGCCTAATTATCGACTATGTACTTGACGAAGATAGATTAATGGAGAGCATAAATAATATGTGGATAAAGAAGGATAGAAAACATCAGATCTAACTGAGGCACTTCCCTCATTAGGAAAATAAAACCGACTGCATATGTTCAGGGGCAAGAGATCTATAACATAAACATACAAATTTAAGTACTGGTCACACATCAAGCGTTATAAAAAGAAACTGAAAAGGATGAATTTAGTTGTCACTGAACAGATGTAGTTGGGACTTGCTTGGTAGAATCTTCAACCTGAACAAGGAGGCTGTGTGTCCATGCGATACCGGATCCTGTGACTCCTTACTGAAACATACCTGTGGTAAAGCGATCCCTGTAAGAGACCGTGGAGGCCCACAAGTTTGTGAGACGTCGAGGCTCCCACATTTTCTAGACAGTCAGCTCACAGATGGTGGTGAGGTTATCAGCCTTATGCATCTGTTACCCTTTACCCCCCCCCCCATGTTCCTGATACTCATCTCTATTAGAGGCTGAGACGACTCCGAAGCTATAGTGCGGCTGGAAGGATTAGATCAATTGAAAATTCCAGTCGCCTCGTCGGGAATCTAACCCGCGACCTTCCGGCTATAGCATAGTGCCTCAATACCGTGTGTCCCATACTTATGGTAGCGATTAATTTAAACGCTTAGCGGCCTCCATAGTCTAGAGGTAACGTTCCCACCTCATGACTCGTAGTACGCGGGTTCAAATACCCGGCGGAGGTCGTCGAATTTTTAAGGGCGGAAAAATTCAGGGAACATATCCTCCGGTAGGGACTTTAAGCCGTGGGTCCCGTGTCGTAGCTTTACGGCACGTAAAAGAACCTCATACCTCCAAAGGAGGTCACTGAGCAAAATTGCGGACGTTTGCCGCCCGTCAGCAGTCACTAATACCTCCGGTAGATGGGGGAAGCATTATAGATACTTCTCAGCCAGTAGAGCCGGTCTCGCTCGCTGGGCGGGACTGATGGTAAGCACCAATACCGGTAGGATATAGAGGCTGGTAGAAATCATAGAGGGAAGCACAATGGACCACTACAGGTCTAAGTGCATGGGGAAACCCACCCTCTCTAATAACTAACTAATTTAAACGCTTCAGTAAGTAGGTGGATGATGTAGTTAGTGCTCAGATAAGAACGGGTGTATAAGAATGTTCTCCCTCTGAAGAGGATCTTCAGTGTAAAGAATGAAAAAGAAATCCAGTTTCTCAGAGGAATTGTGGGGTACGGAGTTCATTATATAATAACATCCTTCTGTACGATGTAGGAGTACTTAAGTCATACCTACCACTGTCCTTCCTTCTACGGTTGATCCTGCAATGGCATTGGATACTTCGGACTATAACAACCAGCAGATGAAACTTAAACCTGAAATCCAAACCAATAAGAGTCTAGATTCCTGGGGCTTCTTGAGCATCCAGTTCGGTATGATTACTATTGTCAGTTATAGGTCTGTCAGGGTTTCCTCTTAATATGTGCATATACGTAGTAATGAAATTTTCTAAGAAATGTTTAAAGGCAGGTTATGTGTTATCCTTTAAGAGTTATACTGGTCATACACGTATTCCAATACGTCTTTCTCAGAAACAAGTAATATTAAAACTGTGAATCTTAGAAAATGTAAAAAAGACTGCATTCCTCTTACTGGGCGAGAATTATGCCAATTTATTTATGATAGATCAGAGAGTACAAGAATTTCACTAGCAACAGCATTTGTCATATTAATTTTACATATTCACTAGACTTCCATAAGATAAATGCAACGTTGTTTTAAATTAATATTTTCAGTCGTGTAGGAATTACAGGTATAGCAATCAGTTTCCTATAACCACATAATTCTGTCACTAATACGGTCTCCTTTAATTACAGATTTCTTTTTCGTTCCATATTTTCCTTATTCTCATCTTATTTATTTCATTCTTTTATATTCATCCTTAATCATCCTTCTTGCATTTCTTATAAATTTCAACAATCACAGATAACCAATGCCATCGCGTTTTTACAAGGTTCCCCTTCCCTAATTTACTTGCGTTAATCTGCTTTTGGTCAGAACTTCATACATAACACAGTAAGCGCTGTAGAAACGCTTTAACTGCAGACCTTACCAGGAAGGAATTTTGTGACTGGCAGGATGAATTTATCTATGGAAATTTTATGCCACAGTTTAAACAAAAATTCAGGGGAGAATCCACTAATTCATTGCCATAACGGATTAAGCTTTGTCATCTTCTTTTTACGTGGTTTAAATTTGATGTTTTCATCCTTTATTTCATTATTTTGTCTTGTGCCTTCTTAGTACAAGATCTTAACACACGGAAGCTAAAGTTAACGAAATCTTCTCGGGCTCTTAGCCGTGTTAGCTGGTTAAAAATGACGAATATTTCAGGAGGATATCTGTTCCACTCATCAGTATCAGATCGCGGTAATAAGGACCGATATGTAGCTCCTGTTCATCATTAAATTAGCAGTTTGAAAGACAAGTCTCATGTAAGGAACATGGCAAAGATTATTCCCATTCTAAAGTAGATATTTCGGATATCCACCAGAGTCAGTTACAGATATTTAAATACACAGGCCTAATTGGTGTTTATATTTGTTTCTTTCGGTGAGAATATGCCCAGCTGTTGAACGTTAGAGCAAGTGACACGTGGTTACGATTGCATTGACCCATATATACGTAGATAAAATTCTGCCAGAACAAATTTTCATTAATAACAAATCAAAATTTAAAGCGATTGAACTCGGGTAATGGTTGCTACCATTCAGTCCAGAACCTTTTGTCTTGCCGTCTGCTGTCCAAAAACATAAAAATTAGAATATACAAAACTATAATTTTGCATGTAGTTCTGTATGGGTGTGAAACTTGGTCTCTGACATTAAGGGATGAACATAGACTGAGAGTGTTTGAGAACAGGGTGTTGAGGAGAATATTTGGACCGAAGAGAGATAAAGTGACAGGAGGTTGGAGAAAACTGCATAATGAGGAGCTTCATAACTTGTACTCTTCTCCAAGTGTAATTAGAATGATAAAGTCAAGGAGGATGAGGTGGGCAGGTCATGTAGCACGAATGAGGGAGACAAGGAATGCATATAGGATATTGGTGGGAAAGCCGGAAGGAAAGAGTCCACTGGGAAGATCAAGACATAGGTGGGTGGACAATATTAAAATGGATCTCAGAGAGATATGATGGAATGGTATGGATTTGATTGGATTGATCTGGCTCAGGGTAGGGATCAGTGAAGGGCTCTTGTAAACAGGGTAATGAACCTTTGGGTTCCATAAAATGCTGGGAATTTCTTGAGTGGCTGCACTTTTGGAGGCTTCTCAAGAAGGGCTCAGCTCCATGAGTGAGTGAAGCCTTGACAATAAAAAACACGAACTTAGAAGAGCAATGTCATCTGATTCTCAAAACTTCATTTCGGCAATATCTAATGAAGGTATAGCGGACAAAGCCAAGGAACATTCCTGTCTACAGCAAGTATTGTTGTGTCGTAGGTTCTAGTGCAGAAATGTGCTCTGCTGGCCAGGTTCAATCGTCTGCCTTCCCACTAAGTAGCATGGCCGAAATTACTTCATCGAATTCTTGTCAAAACTCGGCACTGGAAAGTAATAGTAAATTTGTTCTGAGATTGGTCAATTTTAGAGGCCTATACAATTAGTGGCCTAAACGAACTTTCACATGTATCTTTTTAATCCTCTGATAGAACTTTGTACAAAATACTTCCCTATATTTTACACAGGTTTCGGTCACAAATTTTACTTCCAAGGAACATAATTTTGAAGGTCTTCATAAGAGTGCCCTTGTGGATGACGAAATTCAATGTACAGCATTTCTGTCAAATCCTGTATGGGTTCTATCATACGAAAATTCGAAGACCCGCATAACTGAAGAATTTAAACAAAACTGAGCATATTTTGACATTTCTTCCCCTTAGAGCAGAATTCAATGGACAGGAACTGTAAATATCCATAAAATACATAAGCTGTGATGTGTATCACGTAAAATTTACACAAAAATAACATATTTTAGTAATATAAGCAGTGTAACCGTTCATTCTGACTGGAGGACTGTTGTGTGTAAATTAAATATGTATTAAGTTAAGATTAACAATATTACAAACAAAGAGATCCGGCAGATAGCCAGCTCTTACACGCGGAAGGGACATAGTTCAAGTTTTGCTATGTGGACAGGAAGTAACATCTGGTAATTTCATAGAATTCTGGCAGTTTCAGCAAAGTCGGAAAGGCTTTGAGAAAATGAGAGCTGACAGCTTGGGACAGCGATAACTTAGAAGTGGGACGGCCGGAGCCTCACACCCTGACCGTAATGCATCAAGGGGCTGTCAGCCTTAGCGTCAGGTCAGCATCTGCAAGAATCACATAACAAAGCAACATGATTGGGAATTCAAAATTTAGGGAACCTCCTAATTTGAAAACTTAACCAATGGCAGAAGTGGAGGAGTGGATTTCTCTTGGAGTCTGGGGTTCGTGGACCTCAGAATTCAGAGAGAGGGCATTCCACCTCGAGGAGTCTTGACACAACATTCGGCAAAGTCGGACACAAATTTTACAACTACGGCCCTTCTGTAAAGTAGTATAAGTAAAGTTCAAATTAAGGTATTAATAAATTCAGTTCTATTCCGTAAGCTGGAGGCGATTAAAGGACTACTAAGTGCAACGGTCTAAAATGTGTGTGTGTGTGATTGAAGCAGAAAGGTTCTTCCTGCCCTGCCCGAGACAGACCCGTATAAGACCCGGGATAGGAACTCAGCTCTACTGATTACTGAACAGAACCCAGTTACTCCCGTCTTTACCTGCTCTCGCGTAATAGCTCCAGCAACCACAATTCTTCTCCATTTCCATCTAACTTCTCGACATCTACGAGAAGAGGGAGGACGGTGATAAGTGGAGCACAACGTAGGATCAAGGAGGACGGCAACAGCGTGGCGCACAACGTAAAAGGGCCCAAGGAGGTGAGCGGTTACAGCAGCAATACCGACAAGGCTTGCACCTTTTGAAAAGTTATCCAACGTCCAGATATGGTCCTGTCATCATAGCTGAAGTCCACCGATATACGATGCTTTGCATGTACCTGGACAACGAAGAACTGTGCTACGTAAACCAATCACATCATTTTAGTGTCACTCCCAACGATGGGCGATGTTCTTCTTGTCTTTAAGCAGGAATCGACCGTAGCACCTACCGCTGGTATCAATATTTACGCCTACACTGGTTTCCTTCACATTCACTGATATAATCACCCCGAATATCAGCCGCTTTCTCTGGGTCATGCTGAAAATACCCTAAAAATATTGGCAATATTGTTGGCAGCGCTGCGGGAAGAAACAATACGCTGTGTGTTGCGTTTCTAAGAGAGTTGGTATGCCTGTTAAGCATTACGTCAGTGATCCAGAAAAAATGTGGGACTGGCAGAAGGAAACAGATTTTGGTGGCATTTAATATTTAAAATTAATTACCTTATGCTACAAGCCGGAAGGCCGCCGATTAGAGTCCCGATTAGTTTATTGGATTTTTTCAATTGACCTAATCCTTCCAGCAGCGCTATAGCCCTGGGTTCGACTCAGCTAATAACACAAATGAGTACTAGAAATCTTTCTAGGGGTAAAAGGCGACCAGCACGCAGGGCCGACAACTTCATCACCGTCTGTGAGCCGATTGCTTTTAAAATCTTACAGAACTCCATTGCCTATTGCAGGGCTAGCTTTAACATTTTGTCTTGTACATCAGTACCTTTGAGGTCAGGCGAAAATCGCAGGACGTCCTACTGATAAACACTTGCAGAATACTCATATTGGCAGGGAAGTGCTTCGGATTTAATAGAATTTGAAGGTTTATTACCATGTTCTCAAGGGCCTGCCGCTGGACCCCACTTGAGCTATCCAAATTGATCCCACATCCTCACACTTTAATATATGCTGTAGGAGTCTCCTTCTGCCTATGCATCTGTCTCGCAAATGGTCTCGTCCCTTCTGGAATTCCGATTAAACTTCGTTCGGATGAAAGTAATACACACACACACACACATACACCAAGAAATTAACGCGCAGAGCCAACCAACTGACAGTTTTCTGTGTATTGCTAAGACTAAGTACATCGTTTAAGGTCTTTCATTCTGGTCCGNCATCGTATTGTACTCAATGGTTATTGCGATGGGCTTCAAACTAGATGATGCGGGTTTCTATTCCCGGAAAGAGCAAGAGCTACTTCCCTTCTCTACAGTGTCCAGACAAGATCCGGAACCCACCCACCCCTCTATAGAATGGGTACCAGGGACTCTTTTCGCAGAGGTAAAGCGACCGGGGCGTGAAGATATCCACTCACATCCATCTAGTGCTGAAGTTAAGAA